GAACGTCCTGACCAGTCTCCGGAACTGGCAGTGGTCATCATGCCCGGAGCTGCTCATGCCAGAGGGAAGTCTTCCAGTCTCGCATGAGGCTATTTGCCGGGTTATCGCATTGATGACCGGTTTCAAGCTGTAGTCACCCGTGCGCTGAAAGATGTTCGTTCCTCAGGTTGTTCCTGTTCTCCTGTTGTTTCTGTCTTCCTGTCCTCGGTTGTCCTGTTGTTCCTGTCACTGATCAGAGCGAGGATGTGACGTAGTGGTCTCCTGATGGTGTTGGGCTGTGGAGCGAACTTAGGGATGTTCTGTTTGGCTGAGTCCTGGACAGTGGTGGTGATGACATCCACCGCCTCGTTCACCTCTTCTACTTTCCGACACGGCGTTACCATCGGTAAAGTGTCTCCGTCGCAAGACCTGTACCCTTTCCAATCGGCCTTGTGGAGTAAGTATTTACTCACGGGTGGTGTGGCGGGTGTGCCGTCGATCGTGTAAAGCACAGGCCGGTGATCCGACGGTCCATACGGAAGCGCTTGGCAATCCGTAATGGTGTACAGATCCGTGGTAATAGCAGGTCCAGCGTTGATGTCCAATCAGATCGGACTGAATGCCGGAAAGTGTATAGACCTGGGTGGAAGACGGCCAACCTAGTCTTGGTGATGTACCTCCCCAGTGGATTGTCGCTACCACATAGCCAGGAAGAGTGTCGAGCATTGAAGTATCCAAAGACTACATGCCGACTCGTCACCTGGGCATGTTGTAGCAGCAGCTTAACAGATGTCAGTGCAGCCCTTGGTCTCCTATAGACACAGGTGAACGTGAATCGACTCTTAAGTTGCACGTCAAATGTGAGTGAGTTCCCTCGGTTGGTTCCACTGGGTTCGGGACCGATCTTGAAGGTACATCCCTACTGAACCAGGATGGCTACTCCCTCTGGTGCACTCGCCTCTCGGTATATAGTGTACCCCTGGAAGTATAGAGGAGTCGAGGTGTGAAGTATGGTGTCTCTCAGCTCCACCACTGAAGGTCTATGCTACTGAAGAAGGACCTCGATTTCAGCATGCTTCAGATAGAGGCCTCTGGAGTTAAAATTCATGAAGATGATTTATCATGATGCTTCTTCGTCATAGCATCTACCATGCGGGCAACTATATCCATCAGCTTGTCCATTCTTGTCAGCATCATCATCACCATAGAAATCAGGGAGGCATCGGTACTTATTGAAAGCTGAGGCGATTTTGTTGCTGAGGTCTGTGTTCCTTGGACTGGACGGTCTGCTGGTGGTGGGGATTGCTCCGCTGGTGGGGAGAGGTTCCTTCTTATTGGACTGACGCTCCTCAGCTTGCTGTGCTGCATGCCAGTCCCTTGGAACCACTTATTCTGTTTTCTGGTATTGGTTTTCGCCGGTGTTCCTTCGGTGATTTCCCTAATTTTCTTCACCAACACCTGTCTCTTCGACCACTCTTTGGAGGAGGTGGGCGCCCTTACAGTTTCTATATCAGGAAGGTGCTGTTTTCGAGTACTGTTCAAGAGTGTGGGCACCTCCACACCAGGGGCACGCACATGTTCGGCCGATATATTTCATAGTGTGTTATTCTTGACAATTTCGGCACTGTGCTGGGACCCCATCTTCTTTGAAGATGCTCACTCGAAATTTACATTGTGATATGTGGTACAGTGTTGCGATGTCTGTCAGCTTGACCTAGTCGCCTGTAATTATCTGGCAGCCTCTGTAGTTAACCGAGTGCTGACCACTGCAATTGGCGCACTTAGCAGGAGTCTCACAAGTTTTTAAACATGAGCTTCTTTCGTGATATTCGCCGCACTTCACACATCGCGGTCGATGATTGCAATATGTTTTAATGTGCCAAATATATAACACCGAACACACTGAGGAATACTTCGCTTTTGACGCGGTCGATTTTGATGTGAGAGTAATATAAATGCATTCAATTTTAAAAATATCTTCTCTGAATGTCTCTTTTGTAACGTCTACGAAAAACATAGGAAGAGGTTTTTTAAATCGAGATATTGCATAGACTACATTTGTTACTTCATAGCCCATATTTTTAAATTCTTCCCTGATTATCTCGACTGGTGTTCCATGATAGAAATATTTAACAACTCTTGGGCACCTGTTCTGTGGGAGTTGGTAGGTGTGAAAGTCCGCGCCTCTATTTCGTAGGCTTGAATTTAATTTGGGATATATATCAGGTGTTTGTGGGTAAAAAGTGACCCCTTTTAATGTTGATTTAGTCTTGAATGTATTATGTCCAGCTTTATTTTCTAAGAATGAAATTAAAGCATGATAATTCTCAACACCGTTTATAAAAATTGGTGGAGTTTTATCATTTTGAGGCGGTTGTCTTATTTCTTCAATATACGAGTTAATCTTGGTTAGAACCTCAAAACTGTTAGAGGTTGGAATAGGTTCTACTGGTCGTTTTTGTGCTCTTGGCTCACTTGAATCTGACATAGTTCTTTTACGACCAATAAATAACCAGCTCCCAGGAGCCAACGTAACTGTTTGTTTCACTATTTGTTAAGTTCATATTGCTTACCTCCTCATGTTGTGACCGTTCCACCACCGTTGGCTGTGAAAACCTTAGTTTTGTTTTTTGTCTTCAGCTCTGTTGTCTTCAAAAAACACTTTAGCTACACAAAAAAATGAGTATTTATACTAAATTAACACTTTTTAGAAGAGACGAAAGCAAATTAACCATTATCATTGTTTAACATCAACAGCTGTTCAGATTTACTTTCAACATGGAATATTTGTTGATAATTTGGATCTGGGAAGGCTTTTCGATGCGAAACGGGCGGGAAACGTGTGGTGGCGTTTGGCTACGGGGGCGTAGCTTTCATTATCCGATCCTTCGCTGTCAGTTTCGTGAATTCTCTTTCCACTTTTATCTTCCCTACTTGTTCCTGTTTCTCTCTAGTCTCGTCTCCGTATGTTTACCCCAAACAACACTTTAACCGGCTAGAATCCTGTGATCAAATGTATGGAATGGTGTAGGCTGCCACTGTCTTCCTCATAGCTACATCTGCTTGTAACCCTTGTTCTCCTTGATACACTCGCAGATGATCACTTAGGGAGCTGTATAATCTCTCAATATCTCCTCTATTCTTGGGATGCCCCGTGGGATGTTATTGAAATGCCAGGATATGTCTAGTCTTTTTGCTTCTCTCCTTATGGTAGCACTGTCGAACTTTTTCCCTCCGTCCGATGTTATGTTATCTGGTACTCCATAAAACTGAGCCCAAGTTTGAAGATCCCTGACGACAGATTGCGAAGATCTGTCCTGCACTTGGTGTACCATTGCAATTTTACTGAAGAGGTAAATCATCGTTACCCATTTAAATCACCTCCAAGTAAGAGTGTCGATCTGCACGGCCTTCAGTGGTATTTCTCCGGTGGGTGTTTCTTCCTGTTTTTCTTGTGGGGAACGTCCATCGTATTTTGTGCGTGCGTAGACTTCACATGCTCCTATGATTTCTGCAATAGTATTTTTCATTCATTCCCAGAAGTATCTCCTGTGTAGTGCCTATAGTGTTTCATCTACCCCACGGTGATTGGTTTTCCTTGATGATACGCCAACGTTACTTCCTTCTGCTCCTCCATATTCGCCACCGTTTCCACTAAGTATTTGCACCGAATAAAACCGAATTTTTTCGGCTCTCCATATTTTCTTAATTTTTTTCCATATCGTGTCATTTCCCACGTAAAGGTAATAATAATAATAATACTTTATTTATTCTGGGACAAGTCCCTTTAAAATAATACATAAGGACAGTAATGTGGGCTAAGGAGCCTCAGAGATACATAAGAAGAAATGTTGAGTAATAAAATAGTCATATTAAAATTATATGTTACTTTCTAACTTAAATAAGTTAATAATTAAAAATTTAATAAGTAAAAATAATGAAGAACAATTTAATAATTTATATACATATTTTCAGTGGTATCTATTTACAATTTTATGATTTTATGGGAACTGGATGGATAAGAAATGATTGAACAGGCGGGATTTAAAGGTAGGAAGGGTATTAGATTGACGGAAGTGGGAATGGACGGAGTTCCATAAGGAGGAGGATCGGATAATGAATGATCTGTAGAAAGCAGTGGTTCGGTGGGGCCTTAGATATAAATCAGAAGACCTGGAACGAGTACTGCGGGAGCGAACAGAGGATTTTAATTAGAGGAGCTCGGAGATGTATGAAGGTCGGTGGGATTGGATGACTTGAAAGAGGAAGGATGCCAAAAAATACTTACGACGGTAGGAAGAGTAAAGCCACTTCAACTCTACATAAAAACGGGAAACAGAGGCGTCCCTTGGGATCTCGAAGATGAATCGTACAAAGCAATTTATCAAGCGTTTTAGTTTCGCCTCGAGATCTCCAGAGATGCCCCCATATGCCGTACAGCAATAGTCAAAGAGGGTAAAAATTAAGGAAGTGACCAGGAGTCTTCGGGTTTCATCGGGAAATAAGTGAGGGAGTGGTTTAGGCGTTTTAAGGTGGAAATGGTCCGGCGGGAGATGTTGGATACATGGTTTTTCAGGAATGCATTTGATCGAAGGTTATTCCAAGGTTTTTGATAGAGGGATAAAATTTGATGGGATTATGTAGGAAAAGAGTTGGAATATGTGGAACAGTTTTAAGGAGGTGATTGGAGCCAATTAAGATTGCCTCTTGTCTTTTCCGCATTCAACTTCAACTTGTTGGCTCTCGCCCAGTCGCAAATCTTATCCAAGTCTTCTTGAAGTTTTTCTGTGGCTGATAATAGGTCGGAGGGCTCGAAGGACAGGTATATTTAGAAATCATCAGCGTAGATATGGTATTGGGAGTGACGGATCAGGAGAAGAAGGTCATTAATGTAAAGAGCAAACAAAGAAGGAGGTAGAGACAATTATTTTTACAAGTACGTTTTTAGTAGAAATTTTACTCTTATTACGGACAATGAGACTTTAACTAGGATATTCTATCACAACAAAGCACTCCCAAAAATGAAATCTGCTAGACTTCTTCGTTATGCGTCATTCCTGTCTGGTTTCGACTACACCGTTAAATTCAAGAAGGGAGAGGAAAACAAAAATGCTGATTGTTTATCTCGTGTACCTGTACCTCATTCAAATGTTTCAACAGATCTTTTGATCAATGAAGAAGTAGCTCAGTTATATTCTCAGATAATATTTCAAATATCTACAGAACAAATTACGTATGAAACTGTAGCAAATGAAACTTTAGAAGATCCAGAACTTCGATTAATACTACAACGTCTCAGATCTCAGTCTACTGATGAACCATATACCATTTCAGACGGAATTTTATTTCGCCATGATCGCGTTGTTATCTCCAAAAAATTAAAACCCAAATACTTAATGAATTGCATTATACGCATATTGGAATTACAAAGATGAAGCAACTTGCTAGAAGATATGTTTGTTGGATGAAAATAGACAAAGATATTGAAAGATTGGTCAAATCCTGTGAAAACTGCGCTCGTACAAGAAATAGTCCACCAAAAGCAGTGGTACACCCATAGGACGAGCCAGAATCAAATTGGGAACGCTTGCATATTGATTATGCCGGTCCTTTCGATAATAACCATTTTCTGTTATGCATTGATGCCAAATCTAAATGGGCTGAAGCCAAGATTTCACGAGAAACTCCTACCACAGAGACAACTATAAATCTTCTGGAAGATATTTTTTCTACCCACGGATACCCTCAAGTTCTTGTCTCCGACAATGGTGCTGTATTTACTAGCGAAAAATTCAGATCATTTTGCAAAGATGTTGGCATAGTCCAAAAATTCATCGCACCTGGGCATCCTTCAACCAATGGGCTTGCTGAAAGTAATGTCCAAACTCTGAAACACCGTCTTAAAACTGCCACTGACCCTTCCCCTTTACCTATCAAAATTCGTCAGATTCTTTTTAGATATCGGGCAACGCCCTTCGCAAGTGGACAGTCTCCAGCAGAAAATTACCTAAATAGAAGACTTCGAATCAAACTAGATGCATTACGACCTAATCCTAATGCCTATAAATCAACATCTGCGGAATTCAACATCAGGAAATTCAAAGAGGGAGAGAGAGTACAGGCACAGTTTTATTTAAACAATCGTAACGTCTGGTTATTTGGTGTTGTAAAACGTAAGTTAGGTCAGCGACATTACATAATTGAACTGGACATTGGGAGGACTCTTAAATGAAATGAAATTAAAAAAATATTTTATTATTCTGGGACTGTTGTCCCTTAAGAACAATATATAAATACAGATTGTATGTCTGTGTGGTTACAATTAGATTGTATATTTACAATAAGAGTTGACTTAAGATAAAAATACTGAAAAGAGAAAGAAAAGAACAAGTAAATTGTACATATATATGAGAAACTAAAATAACCTTAATAAATTGAGGTAGTCTCTGGCGGTGCTTAGTTATTTCTCTTAAGTATATTTCACAATCAGTCGGATTGATAAAGGAGTAGGTGCTTACAGAGGAGAGGTTTGAAAGAGAAAACTGATTGAGCGTGTCGAATATCAGCAGGGATGGAATTCCAGAGGGAGGCGGTTTGTATTGCAAAGGATTTGTCAGAAGTACGAGATCTGGTGGGACGGGATTGGATGGAGTATTTGAATTGTAAGCTGTGACAAAATATAGGAGGGTCGATGAGTTCTAATGATTTGGTACAGAAAGGTGGCTAGGAAGTACTGACGGCGATGGGATGGGTAGAGCCACCTCAACTCAGTGTAATACTGGGTAATATGTGTATCCCTTGAGATTCCGAAAACAAATCGTAGTGCGCAATTCATTAGGTGTTTAAGTTTGGCCTCGGAATTTCCCGAGAGTCCACCGTACACCATACAGCGATAGTCGAAGAGGGGGAAAACAAGGGAGGAAACTAGGAGTTGACGGGACTTATATGGAAGGAGATATCGTAGACGATTGAACTGTTTTAGGGTGGAGATAGTGAGACGGGGAATTTGGGAGATATTAGGTTTCCAGGATAGGGATTGATCAAAAGTAACACCTAGGTTTTTAACGGTGGTGTGGAATAAGATATGTGAGTTGTTCAGGAGGAGATTGGGAGATACCGGGGAGGATTTGAGGAGTGAAGGGGATCCGATCAAGATGGCTTTTGTCTTCTCGGCGTTCAGAGTGAGCCTATTGAGGTTTTCCCAAGCACTTATTCAGTTAATGTCTTCCTGATGTTTTAGATATCTGTCGGATTAAAGGAGATGTAAATTTGAATGTCGTCGGCATACAGGTGGTATTTACAGTACAGGATAGAGGATGGGAGGTCATTTATATAGATGGAGAAAAGGGATAAGGAAGAGCCTTGTAGGACGCCTCTGGTCAGAGGTAGAGATTCTGATGGGGGCTTATTAGGAATTACAACGTACTGGGAGCGACCGGTAAGGAAGGATTGGAACCAATTAAGGAAACTAGAAGAAAAAGAGATATTTTTAAGTTTGGTTAGGAGAATGTTGTGATCTACTGAATCAAAAGCTTTGGAGAAGTCTAGGAGAATAAGGATGGTTAGTTTCTGCTGATCTATGGCTGTGTGAAGGTCTTGGGAAATTTTGATTAGGGCAGACTGAGTAGAATAACCAGGCCTGAAACCGGAATGGTAGGGATTTAGGAGATTATTATCCTATAAAAAATGGGATAGCTGGGATTGGACTAACCGCTCTAAAGGTTTTGAGAGGTTTGAAAGGAGGGAAACCGGTCGGAAATCATTAGGAGCTGGTAGGTTTGAGGTCTTTTTCAATGGGCGTACTAGGGCGGTTTTCCAGGATATAGGGAAGGTAGCATTTTGAAGAGAATAGTTATATATATGATAAAGGATCGGAAAGAATGGATGGCAATGCGGCTTTAATCAGTTTGACTGGGATGTTGTTGGGACCGTAATCATTGGTATGGGACTTCTGAATGGATTTAAGGAGATCATCTGGTGTAATATGGGAAAGAAAGAAGTGATCAGGATTAAAGGAAGAGAACATAGGAGCCGGACTGGACGTAGGAGATGTGGTTGCAAGAGGGCAGGAGACAAAGTGAGCGTTGAGGTTATCAGCAGAAACGGAATTGGACTGCGACTGGGGTGCATTACCAATGGTCAGTTTTCAAATAATAGTCCACGTGGCCTTGGTATTGGAAGATAAGGATTGGTATAGTATAAGGAATGATGGTAGTAACAGGATTTAGCACGGCGTACTGCTGATTGAGTGCTATTTCGAAGCTGTTTGTAGGAGAAAAAATCATCAGGAAGTCGAGTTCGTTTAAACCGTCGCCTTGCAGCATCTCTTTTTCTCAGACACTCCCTCAAAGCAGGAGTAAGCCAAGGAGCTGGAGGATATCGGATGGTTTTTGTGATAAGAGGAGCATGTCGGTCGAGGATAGAGTGAAGTTGAGTGGTAAGGGTTTCCACCATGGTGTCTATGGATTTTGAGGAGTAGATGGGATCCCAATGGATATCGCCAAGATCTTCTGACAATGTTTCGTGAGTGAGAGAATATAGGATTCGGAAGGATATTGTTCGGGGAAAAAGGATGGGACAGGGACATTGTAAGAGATCTGGACAAGATCGTGGGAAGATAGAAACGGGACTGGGTGCTGAGATGCGGCAAGGAGTTTGTCTGAGGAATCTAGGATAATTAGATTAAGCCAGGACTCTGAGTACTGAGTATGATGGGTTGGATTGTAGGGTACTATGTAAAGGCTGAGAGAATGAAAGAGGTTTGTTAGGTAAGAATAATCAGAGGATGATGCCAGTAAATTGGTGTTAAAGTCTCCGGAGAGGATGATGTTTGAGTAGGAAGGGATTAAGTTGTACAATGAACTCTCAAGTGATTCATCGAAAGGAATTCTAGGAGGGCGATATATGACAGCAAACAGAATGGTAGATGAGGTGAGGATTTCGGCGAAAAGGTATTCAACGTGCGGAGAATCGGTTATGGAAGAGCAGTGAAGGATTTTGGATTTGAGACTGTCATGGACAATGAGACCTATTCCACTACCCGTGCGATCTACTCTGTCATGACGAAGGAGAGTATAGTTAGGTAGAAGGATCTGGAAGGACGGGATTGTGGGTTTCAACCAGATTTAGGATACGGCAATTAAATGGTAGAAGTTATGAAGAAAAGTCGTAAAATTCATCAAAATGGGCTAGGAGTGACTGAGCGTTGACGTGGCAGGTTAGAAGGATACTAATCATGGAAGAAGGAGGGGTGGCTTGGTAAACGGACAGGACGTCATGTAGACCAATTACGTTCGACCTTGGTGAAGAAACATGTCACTTTTGCACCTATAGAAACCCCACAGACCAATCCACACTGAGCCACGGCATTCACATCCTGATCCACAGCCTGAGAGAACTATAGATCTGGAGCCTCAACATCTACCGAGTAGGTCAACACGAATGAAGCGGCTTCCATTGTATTTGCATGATTATGAACTTTAGACTTTAATAATAAAGTCTAAAGTTCATAATCATGAACTTTATTTTAGTGAGGGAGAATGTTAAAGCCTAAACAATTACCGTATGTTTACTTATGTTAGGATTAATGTACGACATATGTTTGTTTCATATGTAGTAGTAGTATCATTCAATGTGTTGATATGTGCGTGTGTTAAAAATAAAAGTGTATAAATTTCAACTTATTCTATTTCTAAGAATAACAGATATTCCCAGAATTTTCCAATACACTCAAGTCACAACAAGAGAGAAATGTTATTGATAAACAAAGTGTTTCAGAACTTTATTGTGGTTGTCTTTTTATAATAGATGTGAACATGTGTGTTTTTATAAAAATATAGATTATCGAAAATCTATTTAAGAAGATATAATACATGGAGACCCATCTTCCATTATATTCTCACCCAGAAAAACGATTGGAATAATTGAGTTAAAAGTGAGTCTTAATTTCTTAAATAATAATAACAGACAGTTAAGTTTTCACCTTTTGGATGTTAACAATTGAAATAACATTTTGTTGTCGAAAGACTCGAGAAATCTACGAAAAAAAAAAAAAAAAGAGGAAAGTTGTAATCAGTTTCGTAAAGGAGAAGGAGGATCCATTGGGGCGGTGTGATGATGGCCCCTCGGAAGGAGAAACCGAAGGAGATTAAAGAAAATAAGAGAATTGCCTTTGCCAATGTCTTAGCTAGTGTTACGGGGATCCCAAAGAAATCGCAGGAGTCTGCCACTATCTAACCTTCAAAAGAGGTGCAGGGTGGACACCGGATGAAATCTATAACCATCTCCCGTCTCAGGAAGTGCTACAGGGACTTGGGACTAATGCAAAGATTATCACAAAGCTGGCAATGTACTGGTCAGGAGGGAAAACTCTGACCAGTATAGCAATACCCATCGATACTCCCGAAGAAAGTAAGAACAGGAGAGTGTGATTAAGACCCTGCTTTTCCACTTTCTTGCGAGAGGCAGGCGCTGGACAAAGTTGGTAATTGGTCACGCTATGTCCGATTTTTATTTACTTACTTCCCTACCGTGCCTGGAGGGCAAAACGGGTTTTGGCAGCAGTGAGATGTTGTGCATCTTTGCGTAGCATCACATTGCTGCCAGAAAAACAGTAGTTTTCATGAGCTCTGCACTTTGTTTGATGGTATTTCTTTAGGTTGGCCACGGTTTCTTCCTCTGCTCCTCCTCTTCTTCCTAAGGAGAAACGAGTTGGATCTATATTTGATTTTCATAGGATACATGAAATTCCACATTCTTTGAAGTGTGGATAGTTTTCCGCACTCATTAGCTCAACACTCTGTAAAACATAGAGACCGGATTCCCTCAGCAGTATGGCTCTCAGTGCCTCTTAGGCAGGACAGGTTGTTACTACGTGCTCGGGAGTCTCTGGTACTCCGTAACCGGGACACGAGGGATCGATGTCCTTACCATGTTGATATAATTTTCCTCAGAAGCCTCCGTGCCCAGTGAGTAAGTAGTTTGCTGCTGACCGGGAGCCAATGGTAGGAAAATATTTCCTTTGAGTACTTCCTTTCGTAGTTGTTACCCATTGCCTGTTCCATTCATCAAGGGTGAACTCACGTATCATTCTTTTCCACCTGCCTCGTTCTTCATTAATCTTCACACAGAGATCCTCCGGTAAACCTGCCTAGCCCTTCCCTTAACATCTGATGTTTGAACAAGTCCTCCTGCAATAGGAGGTCGATAGGTACTCCTCTTGCCAGGATCTGCACTGCATCAAGGGACACTGTCCTATAAGTCCAGGTAACTCGCAACAGACCCATCCGCTGAATCGACACCAACCTGCTCTTCTGGAGATGCGAGAGATTCACATTCCAGCCAGGGAATACGTACCTCAAAATACACTGAACTACAGCTTTTTAAATGGTTGTAGTAGCTGGGTACCAGAAACCCCAAAATGGGCCCCCGATACGACTGAGTCCATTTAGGATTAAGACCAACCTACTTATTATAGTAATAGAGTGAGCTCTGTCAGTCCTGCCTTTCAAGAGGATGACCTGTGTTTTAGCAGCTGACATCCTCAGTTTCATTCTCTTGCACCAACCTCGAATCAGGTTGGTGCACCACTCCGCTTCTTTCAACCTGGCTCTGCTGTTCGAGGATACCATGACGGCTAGATAGTCTACAAAAGCTGTGGCGGGGAACCGTTCTTCATCGAGCACTCCCAGCAACTTGTCCAACACTAGTTTCCACAGAGAGGGGCCAAGGCCAGAGCCCTGCGCACAGCCTTTCTCCACTATATCTTCTACTTAAAATTTACTTATTATTCTTAACGTTCTGTTCTGAAGATAACTTTTCATCAAAGTGTACAAGTTGCTGGGAGTCCCTGCAACTGCTGCAGTATGCTTGTCCACCATACACTATCGAAGGCGGAGGTTATGCCATACAATAGTAGCATAACATACTTCTCCGCCTTCTCTTCGAAGTCATGGTGTGCTCTCAGAAGAGCATCTACAGTTCCCCTACCTTTGGTAAATCCGTATTGCCATGGATGAGATGCTTGAAAAAACATGCTGTAGGCTAGAGACCATCAGGTTCTCCATCACCTTACTCATAACAATGAGGAGACAGATAAACCTATAAGACATATTGCCATTTGTTTATTCTTGTCAAATACCTTGTAGATTAGCCTAATATCGGAACATATCCTTTCATCCGAAATGAAATTAATACTTAAAACTAGGACTGATTATAAACTAATACTTATTATTAAAAACTTTTTTTTTATTGAGTATTAATACAGTCTGCCACACTGAAGGGCATTGGTACTAGGGCTATAGTATTCATTCACACAATATGTACATAAGAAAGAAAAAAAAAAAGATAAAGTAATATACAAGCTAAGTAAAGAAGATAAACACATTCACACCTATGTACAATATTTACATTGGCCCAGGGGACTCCTAATCAAGCTTTGCCCCCAATTGTGGAAGCCAAAGCAGGACTCCAGGAGATCCCAGTGCTTCTCTCCCAGCCGCGTCACTGGTATAGTAAGCCAGTGGAGACTGATGGAGGGCACTAGAGCATCAGACGCTCAGGACATGAGTGAAGAATCTGGACAGTACCAGTATTCCAATATATACATTTTTACAAAAGGTCGCGGGACTACTGCTGTTTTAACCTCAGAGGAGGATTGTAGGGATGACTGGAGGTAGATAGAGACTGTGCTACAAGATTAGGATGATGAGTGAGATTCTGGTGAAATTTGTCCGGGATAAGGTCAAGTACAAATGGGATATTAAGGTCATTGTGTAGGGTTTTATTGGTTACATAAAAGGGAGCATCGACTATTGTTCGAAGAACTTTAGACTGGAAGGATTGAATGCGTTTGATGTTAGAAAGTTTTGCTGTTCCCCACAATTCGAGTCTGTAGGTCCAGATAGGTTTCAGGATTGTCTTGCAGATTAATAGTTTGTTCTCAACTGAAAGTTGAGATTTTCAATTGAGTAGTCTATATAGTTGGCCATATCGACAGTTAAGCTGTTGTCTTTTAAGTCTGGTATGTGGGTTCCATGTTAGTCTTTTGTCTAGAAGGAAGCCAAAGTACCGAACTGTGTCGGAGAGGGGAAGTGGTATGGAGTTGAAATAAACAGGTGGACACGACTTGCGCCGAAGGGTGAACGTGGTGTGTTTGGATTTAGATTTATTTACTTGGATGCGCCACTTATTACACCAGTGTTCCAATAAGAGAGGTGACTTTGTAGGTTAAAGGATGCTGTTTCAGGATCTGAATTGGAAGATAGGATGGCCGTGTCATCAGCGAATGTTGCCAGGAGGATTTCAGGATGAGTAGGAATATCAGCGGTAAATAGGATGTAAAGGAAAGGACCCAAGAAGCTCCCTTGAGGAACTCCCGCCTGAATTGAATAACACTTGGAAAATTCAGTTCCACAGTGGACTTGAAAGGAGGGTCAGAGAGATAGGATCGAAGTACTAGATATAAGGACTGAGGTAGCTTGCTTTCTAGGGCTGAGGATATATGGTCAACAAGTCGGAGACCTTGTTGAGCAGTGGAATGTTGAGAACGAAATCCGAATTGGTGGGTAGGAAGGTTTTGGAATTCTATAATGGGTAGGATACGTTTCAGTAGAATTTTTTTTAAAGATTTTTGAAAGGATGGGAAGTAGGCTTATTGGTCTATAGAAAGTTGAATTTCACATTCCTGGGTTTCCTTAGTGGAGACATTAAACAAAAATCTCAAATTAATTCTGAGGGTTTTCTTAACATAATCTTTAGTCCTTCACCAAAATAGATTAAAATTCTAAGTTAATCATAAAATCTGGATTTCATAAAAAATCTAGCAAAAGAAGGAAAACCAAATAACAGGCTAAAAGAGAAAGAATTTTATTTTCTTTCATTATGTTGATGTCATTACAAGCTATAAATTAACAAGAGTAATCAGTTACAAAATAAAATTGTTTAGATTCCCTCTGAGTAATTGCCTATATTTTCCTATTTTATATTAAAACATAATAATTTAATGATTAACTGATTAGACAAAGATAATTTATAAGCCTTACTTTAAAAACTAATAAAATATAAAACAAATAACAAAACAAACAAAAACATTGGAAAAAATTTGGTTCATTAATGATGGATATAAATCAGTTTTATTTACAAAACAAATAATAAATACAATACCAGGATTCCAGATGTGTTAAGAAATTGGGTAGTCTATTTTTTTTTTCAGTATTTACAATAAGAACAATATTGAAGACAGGAAGAGGGAATAACAGAAAGGTGTTCTAAAACCCTGACTTTATCGCTATGTTAAAAACTTAGCCAAAATTGATTGCTTTTCCACAGTAAGCTGATAGTGCTGCCTCTCTCACAGCTTCTGAACAAGTCTATAAAAATAAAAACATAGTTATAAAATGAACAAAACCATATTTGGGAAAATTACACCTATTAATAAATTATCAAAATATTTTTTATTTTCAATGGAAGGAGATGGTCCGGGGTTGCGGTCATAAAAAGGCTAAATAGTTTTACCACTATTTAGCCTTTTTATGACCACAACCCCGGACCATCTCCTTCCTTTATAATGCAACGGTCAACTATTAAATATTCAATATTTTTTATTTTCTATTGTTTTTCTGTTCTACTAGAACTAAAACTTTTGTTAAAGCGGTTGGTTGAGAGAAAAAGTAAATAAAAAAAATAGTTATTGTACAGTACAATCTTATCTATCCAAACTAAAGAAATATAAGAATCACATAATCCACCCAAGAGAAATTATATCCATAACCTAAGAACACTTACTGTTTATAGCTCAGTTAAAGTAACTTTTCATAATTAATAATAATAGTAATGAAATAAATAATTAGAAGTTAAACTCTTGCAATCAACCGAGAATTTTATAACAAAACCGTTTCTAAGAACATTTATTTTAAAATAAAACAGCTAAAAGTTCCTTCAAAACCGTTAAAATACACTTCAAGGTTAAAGCATATTTTTCATTTGTGTGATTTGTAAAATTGGGGTTGATCATCCATTAGGCGGACAGGAGGTGCTCCCCTAGTTAAATAAATATAATTAAAAGAAATTTTGTGTTAAATAAATATCTTACTGGGTGAGCATGACACGTTCTAGCAATATCTTCGGCAGATGCACCATATTCCATTCCAAGGACAGCTTCAGCGATCAGTTCACCAGCTCCCTATTAAATTATTTAGATAATAAAGAGTTGCCTTAAAACTTTTTTATATATATATTAATTATGTATTCAGAGTAAAATTAATTTAAAGGGGAACTTACAGGTCCAATTATATGGAAACCAAGCAACTGATCAGTTTGTTTATGAGCAAGTGCTTTAACAAAACCATCGGGTTCAAAATTTGTTTTAGCTCTGCTGTTAGCAAGGAATGGAAATTTTCCAACTTTGTATTCAATTCCCTGTAATAAATAATAATAACATTAGAAATTCGTTAAATTATTTTTTTTCTTCCTATTTTGAAAATAATTAACAATATAATTGCAAAAATACATTAATAAGTTAGTGGTATATTAAGAAATTTAATGTCAGAAATAAATTTGAAAACATTTTTGTTCTCTGTCAATTGCCCCCATGAATTCTCATAATGTATAAGTAATATGATGAACAGTGACAATAATAGAACAAAAACAAACAGTAACTATTACTCAATTCTAATTTATCTAATCTAAAAAAAATAAAAAATCTTAATACTTAGAATGAAATTTACAAAAAAAAAATTATTTGATTATAATTTTTTTATAAACAAAATGTTCATGCAAAACCAGTACATTTACCATTAATAATCATTACATAAAGTACACTAGGCAAAAAATTAAAATTAGGCATCTAATAACAAAAAGGATGACTCTATTTTATTAATTTTTTATGTCCATTTTTGAAAAATCTATTACATGGCTAAAATAAATATTTAATAAAATTTTAAAATATGAGATATCCTATCTTAGTAGACGCCTCATACATTCAATAACAAACACATTATTACTTCATTCTTAAGGTCTTCTTCTGTTTTTCCAACCCAAGCCACTTCAGGATGGGTATATATTACCGATGGTACAGTGTTATAATCAATATGAGCAGGTCCACCAAGTATTCCTTCAACGCATACTATAGCTTCGTCCTCAGCTTTATGTGCTAACATAGGTCCATGAATACAATCCCCGATTGCATAAATGCTACAACAGAGTTAAAAAAATATAATAATTTTTTACACACAAGATGATCAATATTCAAAGGAATACAAAAAAGGTTATCTTCAAAACAATAATTTTAGTTCATCATCATTTAGTTCAAACAATCATTTGAAGTCAATTATTGTAGTTCTTAATTGTTATTATTATTATTTTTATTAAGAAATATAATAGTAAGATATTTTAACTATGAATGGATTGAGTTGCTTGTAGTTACAAGTACATCGGCAAATATTGGAGAAAAAATACGGTATTGTAAGAAAAGTACTGGTATTGTTCACCAGCAGTATGATATTTTAACCGAGCAGGGGATTCCAAAAAATTAGTAAATCTAGTCCAAGTAATAAACGTGTATCAAGCCACTCATTTAAAAAAAAAAAAAAATAAACAAAATAGTAATGTAAATAAGCCTAGATTATAAATATCTGTAGTGCAAACTGTTCATGGAAAAGGTGACAAAACAACCCAGGCTGGAAGTTTTTCTAGAAAATACCCGATGAATAGACCGATCCAGCGATTCACAGATTCAGTAGATTCACCAATTCAGTTGGAATCGTTTGATTCATAAGGAAACGGTCAATTCACTGGTTTTGTTCCAGGAAATGTTCTAGCTGTGTTCCATATTTTGTTGGGCTGTTTTGTTTACTTTCCGATTCTATTCTTCCACAAGCATTTAGCACTTCAGATATTCATAACTTACGCTTAGTTACATTACTATTTTGTTTATTTTCTCTCTCTCTCTGTTTGTTTTATTGATAGATATATACAGTTTTTTTTCCCCATTTATACTTTATTATTATGTAAATATTTAATGTATTGTATAAGCATACTGTCATGTTTTATTTATTTTGCACATATAATTTGTTCTAAAGGTTCATCAGTCCCAGGATAGTAAAATTATATTTCTTTATAAGATTCATGACTTTTTTATTGTATATATCTGAATCAAGACCTTTTAATTACAATTCGTTAAAAAAATGTTTATATGTTTGCCTGAATAACAATAAGATTTGAGAATAACTATAAGTTTGTTACTGTTTTTTGTTTTGTTTTGTTTTTTTCAATAAAAAGATATTTTTAATTTAAAGAAGAAAAAAAAGAAGAAAAGAATCAATCGAAGAATTGTTTATAAGAATCGATTCAGAAAAAAGAATCGAATTTCCCATCTCTATTGAATACCTTTAGTGCTGGTAACATGGTCAGTAATATTAAATATTACGTTTCCTTTAAGTTGATTATGTATATTATTTTTTATTCTATTAACTTATTATATATTCCATTGGTTTATCTCATGTATCAGCCATCACTATTTATCATTACTATTATCTGTTTTTATAAAATTATATCTCTTACACTATAAAAAAAATTACAGGCCTGGTGATGAACCACATGCTTGTCTTGAAAGGTCGGCAACATTAAAAATCATAAAATGACTGTGTCCTGACTATTTATCAATCTTCCTTCAATTTTATTATAATATTTCTTATTTTAAAATTGTAAAAAAATTGGTATGATATAAAATAATTAACATTTGTGAAAATAGTCATAATTAAGTACAAAATTATAATTACTTAGGAATGACAGTCTGGAATTTGTGATTAACAGGAATTCTTCCTTTTTCATCCTTCTGAATACCCATTTCTTCTAACCCAAGATTATTGGTATAAGGCCTTCGTCCCACGCATACCAATAAAACATCAGCCTCCAACTAACAAAAAACAGAAACTTTGCTAATTAAATTATAAAAATGATTCAATTAAACAATCGGTTAACAAAATAATATTAAAAAAATAACTAGCAAATTTCATATTAAAATTTTTCAATTAATTACCTCCTCTTTTTTAGAAGGATCCTTAGCATTCTCAACACTAACAATAATACTACTGCCAGATCTTGTAGCACCAGTAACCTTTGTCCCTAATTTAAACTTCATACCTAAAAACACAACCAAGACATTTATATATATATTATTTTATTTGAATAAATATTATTTATTTGACCGCACCCCCGATCAACTCCTTCTCATATTATATCACAGTCAACCATCTCTACATCATTAAAAATTATAATTGATGATAATTGAAACCTACCTTGCTTTGCAAGTATCTTCTGGAAAGCTTTAGAAACCTCTAGATCAATGCCAGCACCTCCAATTGTCGGCATATATTCTACAGCAGTTACATCTGAGCCAAGCCTACCCCACACAGAACCCTAAATATAACATTATATTATAAAAAAAAAAAAAAAACATGTTTTGTATTTTAACTTGAAATATATGGTTGTATCATAACAAAGAAAAAATTATTAAGGGTAGTAAGAGTTTTTACATACTAATTTCAATCCTTAATTGGATCAAGAAAAACATGAGTGTTTTAATACTGAATGAAATAGTCTATAGACAGTTATTTGTCTATATCTCTCTGGTTGTAAAAGTCTATAGGCTAAGCTATTGAAAAATCATTGAAATGTAAGTCCTGTAATTAACTGCCAAATGGACCATAACTGACAAGTATACTGACAAGAAAGTACTCTTGAAGACTGGAAGTTTTGGATTTTTACGAGGAACCTTTTTTAGATTTTGTATACATTCATAATATATTCAGAAATATAATTATATATTAGGGAGCAGGAAAGCTTAGTGAATAAGGTACAGGACTACTAACAAGGACCCAGATTTAAGTCTGTCCGCGGCAGATAATTATTTATTGTTTTATCAGACATGGATCAAACGTGGAATTGGAAGAACTTCCTGGGGCACACACAGTTCCTATCAAGTGGGCACCCTGAATAAATTAATAGACAGAAAAAACCTGGCAGTCGAACCTAGTCTTTGCCATAATATAGTCGTTGCCAAATCACAGTCTTTCCTACACAACCGTTGGTATTGAAACAGTACTTCTTTACAAAGCCCTGAACCCAAGACCCTCCCTGAAAAGTAGAAGAGGTTCAGAAGTTTTATTTATTTTTTTTATATATTTCTATGGACCAGTTAAAAAAAAAAAAAATTCAATTCATGTTTTTTATTCTAATATCAAATATATATTATGAACCTTTTTGTTAATCATTAATAATTCATCCAGTTATATTAGCAATATGATACATTAGAGGTTGTATCTTTCTTTTGTACATCAACAATCTTCTCCGTTATTTGATAAATAATAAATATTTCATTTATTTTTTAAATAATGATAATGATGAAAACAAGCATTACTTACCAACTCGAGACCGATTACACCAGCACCAATAACAATAAACTTCCCAGGAACTTTATCTAAAGAGAGGGCTCCTGTGGAAGAAACAATTGTTTTCTCGTCAACCTACAATAAAAAGAAGGAATTATTATAACAAACTTACTCAGATTAATTAATAAAATAAATAAAATTTCCAAAAATCCTACTTCAATTCCAGGAAAAGGAGTCACTTCAGATCCAGTCGCAATCATGATATGTTTTGTTTTAACAGAGTGTGTTGGTTTGTCACCTTCCAGAACAGTAACTTCATTGGCTCCAGTAATTTTACCATGACCTTTAAGATGAGTTACCTAAAATGTTGAATTGAATTAAAATTGAATTAAAAAATTAGTGTGATAAATCAAATTTGTAATATTTCTATGGTCAAAATACTGCCTGTCAAAGGTTTTTAAATCATTTAATCAAATTGTGGAAATCGAATTAACCATGATTTTATAAGACATACAGAACTTAACGGTAAAATCCTTGATGATGAGTAAAAAACTTGAAATGTTAACTGTGATATATTTCTTTCAAATTAAAAAAAAACACAAGAAAGATAGGTAATCTAAGTAAGCTGATTATATAACTCTACATATTATTTTCTATAATCTGGAACTATGGCACAAGATAAAGACTAAGTAATTATTAAAATAATCACTTAATTAATTAAGATAACTGAAGACTGGAATGGAAGATCTATCAAGTTCCAAGTTTTAACATCAACTGAATTAAATTTGATACCTCAGACATTTATACTAATTATGTAAGTTTTCTCTTGTATAGAGACAAATTCAAGATTTAATACTCAATTAATACCTACTAACACAGTTTTAAAATATACAATATTTTAGCATCTAGATTTTTCCAGCTTTGCAGGCTTCAACAGAGAAGTATTTGACTAATATTATTATGAAAAAGATAAAAATATACACTATTTAAAATACTAAATAACGTACCTTATTGCTTTTAAAAAGCATAGCAATGCCACCAGTTAATGCTTTTACAGCTGATGATTTGGCATTCATTAGAGCTGGTAGGTTAAGACTTACTTTATCGACTAGAACAGTTAAAAAAATTATCATACAAGGATTAAATAAATAAATTGTAACTTTAACATGAATATAAATTTATTAATAACATACAATGAATTGACTATATAGGATGATAACCATAGTTTGACAGATTTTCCTGGGTTCCCTTAACCTATTAAATATATTGATATTTGGATTAACTTGGGAGATAAATCAGAGGAAAAAAAAAAAAAATGACTTCCACAATCTGTTCCATCCGTACCATACACTCAAATAACAATCAAGCACTTCTAAAATTGCCAATTTTCAAATATGTTTTTGCAATTTAATTTTTTAACCAATCAAAACCAGCTTAATACATTCATTGAAGGCATTACTTTAAACAAATATGTGTACCAACATTACATACAATCGTCTTATATTCAGATCAGTCTGAGTTAAAATCTAATGAGGAAAACTGTATGTAATCAACAAAACTTAAGTGAAAATAACAAAGTTTCTAACAGAGGTTTTCAAGGGGTATTAAATGGAATTTATTATGAATGAATCTATCTGAATTTAATGTATCACAAGATATCTTATAATGCTCCTCTTTCTTCATTCAGAATAATCTAACTAATAAAAATGATGAATCTAACTACTTCTCAAGGAATTAGGGGATTTGGACAGATGAACATGCATTGATACACTAATATAACCTGATATTTTATTTCAATTGTATTCACTTTCCATTCCTATAACGATTAATTAGACATGGCAGAATATAGTAGTGTATCTTAATAATATAATAATAATAATAATAATATTTACAGAGAAAACTTGAAGTCATGTACCTTACTGACCTGCTGCGTTTGACTAATCCTTTGTAATTCAAGCAGTCTCCTTTTGGAATTCTATCCATTTTGATATGCACATGCACAATCAGTTTCCTCATTTAAATCTCTCCTTTTTAAGCACCTACTCCTTTCCCAATCCGACTGATCACGAAATGTACATAAGAGAACTTCTTAAGATTCCCCAGAAAAATTTCCGGAACCCATATTTTCATTTCATTTAATTTCATTATTACTAATGGAATTTATGTTTCATTCACCATAATCACTCTGGCGGATCTATTGAGGCAGAGACTTTGAGGCTGAAGTCGCTCAGGATAACAATCCTAATATTTAGATTAAGAGAAGGATCATAGTACCCAACAAATGCTACTATGGATTAAGCAAACAGCTAAGCAGGCGGATACTTTCCAGATAGACCAAGCTTCACCTCTATAAGACATTAGTGCGTCCCGCACTTCTTTATGGACTACAGTGCTGTAGAATTTCTAAGGCTACTGAAAAGGAACTTCTTATTTTAGAAAGAAAAGTTCTATGCCTTATTTTTAGAGGAGTGAAAGTTGGAGAGGAGGGGAAGCGCACAAACGCAGAAATATTCAATGCTTTCAGAGAAGCTGATGAGAAAGCAATAAAGTTGTGATGCTTAACATATGCAGAGCATATTGTCAGAACTGCAGATGGAGAAATTACTAAAATATTTCTGACACGGCCAATATATGGACCAAGGAGAAGAGAGAGACAACCACAGCTGAGATGGTCAGATGGTGTGGTAGGAGATGTTCGCAACATTCTGGGAGGTAGTAACAGGATGACATTGGCACAACACAATTGGAGGAAATGACCGGAAGAATTCAAGATCTTTAACCGGGTTGCAGAGCTGTGAAATAATAATAACTCCTAACTGTTCTTCTAATTATTGCTTTATTTTTTTTGCTTTCCTTCAAGGAGTTCTTAAATATATTTTAATATAGCTTCTTTCAGTGTAATACCAAAAAATAAACCTAACCAACCAAAATCAAATCCTGGATCCCCTATTAACCATAAATGATCTCAAACAATTATACTCTATAATAATTAAGCTTTTTTTTTTTTAATATGAACTCTTACCTTCAATTCCTCTATTCTTGAAGTCATGTTGAGCCATATGGTAGTAATGAGAGTTGTTAAGGAGTGCCTTTGATGGAATACATCCTACGTTTAAACAGGTACCTCCTAATGTAACTTCCTTTTCAATGCATACAGTCTATGGAAAAAAGTGGGTATATATTACTCACTTTATAGTTATTTCAAAAAATTATGTTAAACTAAAGTAAGACGACTTACTTTAAGACCAAGCTGAGATGCTTTGATAGCAGCTACATATCCACCGGGGCCTGAACCAATTACCACAAGGTCTGCTTCTACTTGTTGAGAATAAAATCTCTTTTTTTGTAAGGCAACTGCAGTCGCTTTCTGTAGACATCCTGGAGGCTGAAATAATAGTAAAAATTAAATAATTAGATGAAAAATATCTATAACTTTAAAGGTACTATTTTGTAATAAATGACCCAAACCCACACAAATATCAATTTATTCTATCCAAAGTCATAACCCTATTATGAATGTAAAGTACTTAAGAGTTTCCCATCAATTCACATACATATTAATAAAAATGATTCACTGATTTATGTAGCTATAAATATAGTTTACAATATTTTAATTAATAAACCACCACTGACTTAGTATCTTAATAAGTAACTTAATAAGGTTTCAAATGTGAAGACCACAAAATTATTCTTGGAATTATTTGACTAAGTAACAGTACCAAAATGTGTTGATAAAGGTTTTACCCAAAAACATTATAATGTACATTTAAACTGTTAATAATGCCAACAGGTTAAGTTAGTTGTGATAGTTGCCATAACTATTACCAATTATTACAATTTTAATTATTTCTTTTCATTTCGTGGCATTCATTATTATTATTTTTAGGGGGACAAATGTCTCAAGAGTAATAATAGAAGAAAATTTACTTATCATCTTTAAAAAAATATTATATTCTTGATAAAATAATAATGTTGGTGATATTGATAACAAAGTTCCAATTTGAAATATAGAATATAATATTTATAATTATATTTATAATTGTGGTACTAGAAAAAAAAAACAGGGTCCTGTAATCATTAGACCTTCAATCATCAAAAATTACGATTTAGTCATTAAATCACACTAACACCACATTACATCATGACTGATAAAATTCTGAAACGGAAAATGTTCTTTAGTTTTCATGGTAACAAGAAATCAAGCATTTTTTCAATTTTCAAAATTGAGAAGATAATTATCATTCATATTACATTTTTGTACACCAATCAAGCTCGTAAGTTGTTACAACAATCTTCAATAAAACATATACTTGAGTTATTCTAATTTTAATCACAAAATTAATACATAGGGCAAAAATATCGAGCACAAAATAAAATGAGCATGAGAAAAGTAATTATTTCAGATGACAAAAAATTTATATTTCTCTAGATAAAATCAAGGACCTAGCTAAGTCACTTTACACATGAAGTTATCAATCTACTTTAATAGTAAAACACAGATAGCATTTAAGAGAAACAGAACATATAAAGATAATTTCTATAACCCAACCATAACCTCCTTCCATTATTTCTTGAAAAATAATTCTTCATTTATTGCCTTCACTTAACTTACCTATTTAATTATTTCAATTAATAATAACTAGAACATTGTGATCTTTAATGAAAGCAGATTTGTGATGGGGAAAGGGAAAATACCAGTTAACTGTATAAAGTCGGTTACGACATATGACACTGTCTTAGCTAAAGTAATTAGTATAATAAATAATATAATTAAGTTATGGCATACCCTCACAGCATAAGACAATCGACAGATGAAGTTGCCGTTCATGATAACCTTATATCTAAATTCAGAAAAAGGGAGAGCTGAGCACGGCCTCCTCGATGATTACCTTACAATCAACTGATATCGTCAGCCAAACTAGTATATCACGTCACGATTATACTTCTTTATCTAACTTACGAAATATCATTTGCATTTAGTATGTTTATTGTCTCTGCTTCGAAATCATCGCACCGATTCTTGCTTTAAGATCTAACAATAAAATTGTCAAAAAGAAGAACCAAGTTCCTTTTTTTTTTTAGCTATAAATTATTTCATCTTTTTCATCGCCCTTTTACTGCTAAAATCGTACAAAAGTTCACATAGATCATGTCACATTTCTTCGGAAGAAAGAAAGAAACTGAGTACCTATATGAAATGGTATTTAAGTGATTTATAAATATAATTAGACGAACAATAATACTTTTGAGATAATTTTTTTTATAAAACATGGTTATATTTTACCATTTTTTGAGGGGCGGAGGGTGTTTTAGCCCGAAAGTCCCCCTCCTCTTCCCTCTCCCCCATTGATCCGCCTGTATTCTCAATGAAAGTTTTATTTGAATTCACTGCTGGTCAGAGTATTATAAGATTAGAAGGTTTTAGGAAAAAAATTCGTTAGGGTGCAGATATTGGCAATGATATCAAAATACTGTCAAACGTTACAGTTAGCGCTCAATGCAATCTAGTGAAGACGAAGTGGCTTAAAGGCTAAAACCAAAGGGTATTAGAATCTTACCTTTAAAGAAACCAGTGAATACGAAAGCAGTAACAGTTACCATTGAAATAATATGAAAGAGGAAAACCTTTAAAACTTTACAGTTCAAAAATAAAACCAACGGTCTATAGCGTAGGTGGTGAATATTTTTATCATTAAAGGTCGCAGTAACGTCAGTCAGCGCTAATGGAGGCCGCAATAATCCTTTATATTTTACCTTTGTTATTTTTATTTATCACTAAGTGCACCCACCCACATATTTACATTCAACTTAATTCTATTAATTTCCAAATTTTCAGTTCGTAAATAATTGATTCTAGTCCTAGATTAATAAATATCGCCCAAAAATATTCGGAGGCCATAACTACGTCACAGAGCCTACATATGATCTCCGAGATCGCGGTTCCCCATCTATACCCCATCTATTCCCAACCCCTCCCAGCCCACTATGATGAATTCCTTGAATACTTTACCCATAATTTTTACCATATCATTGCAATTCCCGAAACCTGGCTCAAGCCTTACATCCCTTCCACACCAGTTTCTCTTCCTCACTACACACTAATAAGCCACGACCGGAGGAGTCGGACTGGCGGAGGTGTAGCTTTGTATGTTCACAAATGCCTGAAGACGCGAATACTCCACTGCTCTCCTCCATCCAATCACCCACACGTAGAGTTCCTAATTGTTGAAATTTCCTGTGACACATCTCCTATCCTTTATGTCGTAGTGTATAGACCTCCTCTTGTTCCCTTTGATCCGTCATTTGAATCATCCCTCTTCAACTTTGTTCCTCTGTATACCAAAATCATCATTTCCGGTGACCTAAACACTAATTTCCTTTCTGACTCCAGCGATAAATCATGCCTCGAAAACCATTTTTTCTTTCTTCATCTTTTCATTGTTCCTTTTTCTTCAACTCATCACACCCCCCGGTCCGATATCTGGTTGGACCATTACATTATTGACTCCTCTCAGAACCTCCTTTCCTCCTCACAAGTACCGGTCTTCTTTTTATCCTCTCATGACCTAATCCAAATTTCATATAATATCCATACTTCTCCGATCCTACCTAGAACCATAACTTTCCGTAACATTGATGTCCACACACGGGAAAAATCTTACCCTACCTGGAAACCCTTGATTGGAATGGAATATATTCCTGTTCATGTATTGACTCTATGGTTGATATTTTCACTCCCAATATCCTTAATATCCTTGATGCCCATGCTCCCATCAAAACCTCTACCTTTCGTAGCCCCCCGGCTCCCTGGATGTGTCAGAAAATTAAAGATCTTCAGAAGAGACGTGATGCGGCCCGCAGAAGCTTTAGACGCACTAGGCTCGCTGACAATTACCAAGCGTTTAAGGTGCTCCGTAACCTAACACAAATCAAAATCCGACGAGCCAAATCCACCTATTTCCACGAAGCCCTTTAATCAGCTCCTGATTCCAAAACCAAATGGCTACTCCTTCGTAAACTCTCCCTCTGTGATTCTTACAGATCACCTTCCTCAGCAGTCTTTCCAGTCTCACCTGATGATTTAAATTCATATTTTATATCAGCTTGCTCTTCCATTCCTCCATCAACATCTTCCTTCTTTACTCCTGGAATATCATTTAACAACGACAACTTTTATTTTTCAGATATTTCTCCCACACACCTCATATCCGCCGTGATGAAATCTCATTCCAATTCTATTGATCCAGATGGTATTTCTGTCAAATTAATCAAATTGTGCATACCTGAAATCCTTCCCGTTCTCCTTTTTATCTACAATTTCTCCCTTCAGAACTCAGTATTTCCGTCCTCATGGAAAAAAGCCATTCTCCGTCCTTTACTTAAAAATCCTAACCCTCCTTCCTCTGAAGATCACCGTCCAATCTCAATCCTTTCTAACCTTGCAAAATCCCTGGAACGAATAGTCCAATCCCAAGTTTCGAACTTCCTCGAACAGTCCAAACAGGTTAGTCCAAGCACTCCGCCCTAATCAAAATCATTAGTGATGTTCAGTCTGCCATAGATGACAAAAAACTAATTGTCCTTGTACTCCTTGACTTTTCCAAAGCCTTTGATACCATTAACCATTCCATCATTTTCTCCAAATTAAAATCGTTATGCTTTTCTAACAGCTCTATCCTTTGGTTTCAATCTTTCCTCTCTCAACGTACCCAAGCAGTCTCTGTTCCTAACCAACGTTTATCTTCCTATCTAACCCTGTCTTCAGGAGTGGCACAGGGGCTCTAGCATACCTCCTCTCCTTTTTAGTTCATATATTAACGATCTTCATAAATCAATCCTTCACTGTTCCCATCACCTTTATGCCGATGATTTCCAAATTTACTTTTCCTTCGCTCCCTCTGAGTGGCATGATGCGTTTGCCAAAATACAAGAAGACCTAAATCGAATCTGTGCCTGGGCAAATGAAAATAGATTAAGGTTAAACGCTACTAAAACCCAAGCCATTGTCATTGGTTCCAAACCCCTTCTCAGATCCAATACAACATTCCTCTCCTCTACCTAAATGACCACCCCATCACCTACAACTCTTCGGTTAAAAACTTAGGTATTTTCATAGATCAAACCCTCTCCTGGAATCACCATATTTCTCACATATCCTGACGATCAATTTCCACCCTGAAACTCTTCCATCGCTTCCACCATCTCCTACCCATGTCCACACATAGACTCCTAGTATCCGCCCTCATCTTCCACCACCTTGACAACGGCTGAGTAGTATACGGTGGCCTCTCATTGGAACTTGGAGACAGACTAAAAAGAATCATGAATGGCTTAGTAAGATTTGTCAATGGAACCCAGAGACGTTCTCGTATTTCCCACTACTAAGCCAAGTTAGGGTGCCTCTTTCCCTCCTTCAGAAGACAATATTTCCTAGGTACATTCCTTTACCAAATAATCTATAATCATCGACCGTCCTACGCATTTAATCTCCTTCAATTCAAGTCATCTATTCACTCCCTCTCCACAAGATCTCGTCCTTCTGACCTTTATACCTCTTTCCACAAATCTGCCTCATTTCAACACTCCTTTATTGTCCGCTCCACCATTTTGGAATTCCATCCCACTTAAAATCAGCCATGCACCATCCCTATCCATATTTAAAACCCTCTTATTCCAATTCCTCCTTACAATTCAATGAAACACTGGGTAGCCATTTATCATGTAACAAAATTGCATTTTTCTCTATGTATCATTTGTATATAAATATATATTCTTTTTTGAGGCATGGAAAAGATGTCTAGTCACGTTCTGTAATGTAAATGTAATAAGGTAAATACTTCTGTTATCACATAGTTTTTAGTTATTTTTTTATTGTAATATGTATTTTGGCCCGATGGAATATTAATTTTTATGTACAAAATTGTTATTCTTGAGAGACTTTGTCGCCCACTTACTCACCACTGCCTCACAACCGTGTGGCTTTGTTCTTCAGTGTCATGCCTTTTTACTGCTTGTTTTCACTGCTCAAACTCTCAAATTATTTTATTTTGGTTCATTGTAAAATATGCAGTGGGTGTGGAAGAATTCTTAATAGATTGTATAAGGGAAAAATCGATTTTATACAGAAACATTCGATTTGCCGACCCCCTACGCTAAGGTCAGCTACGCTTAGCTCAGCTCAGCTGCGCTTTCGGTGTCCGATCAGCCTAATGGTTGGCTATGGATGACGTAACTCAGTATAGTGAATTAATCAGTGTAATCAGATTTGTACCCAGAATTTGATTCTGCAATAAGAATTAGGCTGGATGAACGGGATCGCCTATCTATATAAATACAGCTCTAGAACACTTTACCTTGTATAGGTCTCCTCAGTAACCAAACGCAGTAACGGAGTCTCTGTCTAATTTCACTGCCATCCAGTTGCGACTCCAAGGTTCCTTGCAGCTCCTTTGTCACACAGTCAATTGGACCAGTCTTGACCTGCCAATTCTTCTTCGTCCGTTCTAAAAGCAGTTTCCTTTGTATCTATTTGTTACTCATCCTCGCCACCTGGCTCGCTTCACAATGGATACTATTAGACTCGGCAAGGGATTCATAAATCTTTTGGTTGATCCTCCTTTTCTACCTTCCGTTAATAATGACAGGTAAATATAGACCGAAGAATCTTTCTCTCAAAAAGCAGAATCATTTGACACATTTCCTAGGTCACTGACCGGGTATCTGTACCTTATGTGGTTTGTATGATGTTACTGGAGTATTGGGCGTATTAAAGTTTTGTGCAAAATAATCTTTGTCCTGCTTGAAATACATCTACTTGCCAAATGACTTCTCAACCTAAAGCGGCTGTGGTTTGCGGATAACATTCTTCTTCTAATCTCAATCTCCATTTCATATGTAACGTGAGATCATTTTTATACGAATTCAGTGACTTGTTCGAAGAAATCACTTAAAATGCTGTTACAAAAAGTCACACTTATCCCTCAAAATCACCCATCGGAATCGTAAAAACAAATGATGATACTGTTGTCTTACCAAACACCTGATAAGTCTGACTATATCTCGCTCTAGATTTCTTTTCTACAAATCTCTCATCAAACGTGTTCTGAATTAAGGATAGAAGACATGGATCCTTAGAAGTGCAGAAGAGAACGGGGTCCTTATCCGTGAACGGTCCTTGCCCTCTGAAGAATGGGAAGAACTGGAGAAGGAGGAAGGCGAGAGAGATCAGTGATCTTCATGAGGGTATTGTCATGATGAGGCATATCAATCTTAGATTGTGTTTAGTTGTGTATATGGCCTGAATGGCGGCATTTTCCGATTTATAAATGTATTAACTCCCTCAAAATT